GCCATGCTGGCTGGGGAATTCTGGGAGTTGAAGTCCACCCATCTTCAAGCTGCCAAGGTTGAGAAACACTGCTCTACAGCAATGAAGAACATTCTTAAAATCCCTGCTCTGCCTGTTCCTTGACTGGCCTACCTCAAAGGGCTGTCTTGGAGTAATCTGGGGTTGGATGATGGTGAAGGGGCTGAAGGATCGCCTGGGGGCGATGGAAAAACAGCCAGGAGGGTTGTGAAAATGTCTGAATTTGCAGAAATGGCCAAATGGACCTGTTTGGCCAGCGAAAAAACAACAAAAACTGTTCTGAAAGACTGGGAACCTTATACGGACTTTTTGCTGAAAGAAGAAAGAAATGAAATGAGGATTTATGGATTTAACGATTGGGAATGTGGATTAAATGAGGGGCTGCACGGACTTGTACAATACCCCAGAGGGAGGAGGGACAATATGATTTTAATTATCTGTTGAAGAGAGGGTTGGAAGTCATTCATATATTTCTTAATTTTTGTTTTCTTTTTCTCCCTCCCTCCCTCTTTTCTTTTCTCTTTTGATTTGTCTTTTGTTCTATGAAAAAGATCTTAATAAATAAAAATTTAAAAAGAAAAAAGAAAAACATCCGGGAGGGAAGTCTTAAATCAACTTGGAGCTTTTTTGCCCTGTGAGTCATGATTCATCCAATAGCTTCGGGCCAGCCTTGACTACTGCCACGGGCTGCCCCTTGAAGACACTGTGGAAATTGCACCTGGGCCAGCCTAAGGGCAGGAGTAGCATCTTCGGATCCCACTATGCCAAGGGGGCACCAGCAGCGTCTGAGATCTGCCCAGATGGTGAATGGATGCTCTTTCAGTCTCTCCAAGAGCCCCCACCCCGTTGGTCTTGACTGGGTTCACACAACCTGCAGAACCAGGGTCACCCCGCCACGTGGGCTGCATTCCCCAAGAGGCCATGCCCAAGCAAGCCCAGCTTGGGGCTTTAGGGCCTGGCTTCGCCGTCCCCGCATGCCAAGCGAACGGCTGCGTTCCCACAACGGCTGAACCCCTCCGCTGGACGCGTCGTGTGAACGCGCCAGTAACTGACTGCCGTCCAAATGGAAATCGGGGAGCTGGGGGGGTGGCTGCACCGTGGGACCCCCTGGGGCTTGG